GGAGGAAGCCAGAGTGCCCGGAGAAAACCACAGACCTTCGATAGGAAAACTGACAATCCTAGTCAATTAAGATTGGAGTCGAGTGCACCCGCACGAGCTGGGTTCGAACTCACAACCTCAGTGTTGAATGGCTAGTGATTACAGTAGTAACTACTTAGACCACTCGGCCACTGAGGCCCCCCTTTCCACCTTCATGACTTATTGCTTAAATGTAATGAGCAATAAAACAAGTGCTACTAGTGAAGCAACTATAGTCTTTTATCTAATGTTTTGTTGATGGTCTTGTCTTTTCTATTGGGTATGATGTTGTTTTTTTCTTCATTTTATTGATTTTGGTTATCTACTGTACCTTTTTTTTTTTTTATAGAACTTCATTAAAAAACAAAAATGACTTACATAGGCAGGAAGCAATTTTTCTTCTATCAATGCAGAAAATGCAGATATGTCAGCTAATTCTTTATTACTAAAACTTTTGTCCACTCCAAGACCCTGAAAAGAGTACAAATATGTTCTTTATTTCAACAAGAAAATTATGTCAATATTGCCTATAGTATGTGCTTTGAGATAATATGAAAATATGATTTCATATGGTTCTAGTATTTCTGATTTGTCAATAGTTTTATGAAATATAAATCCAAAATTATCGGAAACACACATTTAAGGGTTGATCAATTAATTTAAAAAAAAAGATTTACTGCTACAAAAATAATATGTTAGTACCTGTTAATTTAACTATGTAGTAATTAAATGGACTGATTTTTTTATTTTTTGTAGTTCTATTGGCATGTGAAGTTTACCTAGTGCATGGATGTGCTTTGGTCAAGGATTTTACATGCATGACAATAAAACTTTAAAAAATGCATTTCATTATCAAATGTACCATTGGAATTTAAAAGGGTAAATCTGATGAAGATTAATCCAGAAAATATCTTAGATTTTAAACATTTAATGTTAAATAAATAACTTGAAAGCAATGAACAAGCATCAGTTACATAAGTATGTTCTTTTCACATTTATTCAATGTAAAATAATACTAGATCTAAAAAAAAAGAAAGATACCCCTCGCCAAGCAATACTATTAGTATATGAAAGCAAGTCAATTAGATTATCCTCCCTTTAACATTTTAGACCAGAATTATTTTCCTTTGACTTTTATCCTTAGTGTTTTACTATGTCGTTTCATCAAAACCAGTGTAGCTGTTTAAGAAGAGTTGAGCTTTCAAGGTATATGAACAGACACACAGTCAGACTACCGGTAATTGATTCCAATATACATCCCAAAGTTGTGTTTCATGTGGTAAAAAAAATATTTAAGTAAAAACAAATTGTGCAAAATAATTGACTACTGTTTATTGTTAGAAAATAAATGAGCACAGGGCTTTAAAACTGTCATTTGTAATCACTTCTTGATAGTTGCTTTATGAATGAATATCACATGTCTCTACTGTGTAAGAATATCATCTTCACTCAATGACAACAAATTAAATGATTATATCACATATATTTTCAATGCAAAATAAGTAGGAGAAAATTGCATATCTGAGAATGTGTAACAGATCCATGTAAATAAAATACACCTGATTTTGAAGAAGGCGAAAATATAACCTTGTTTAATCTGCATAAGAGTTCCTTTTGTAATTGTATATAAGCTTTACCTTAATTTTTTAAGGAGAAAATACTGCCAGTTTAAGATACTTTAAGAGTTTCGTTTGTAATTGTATAAAAGATATACTTTACTTTTCAAGTAGGAGAAAATATTTCCAGTTTAAAAACACTTTAAGGGTTCATTTCTGTAATTCTGTATAAAATATATATCTGATTTTTTTAAATAGGAGAAAATATTGCCAGTTCAAGACGCTTTAATTGACCTTTTTTAAGACGCTTTAATCGACCTTTTTTGTAATTGTGCTTTAAATATTCCTTATTTTTTAAGTAGGAGAAAATATTGCCAGTTTGATACTTTAAGAGATCCTTTTTGTAATTGTATATAAGATTTTCTGTTACCTGATTTTTTAAGTAGGATAAAATATTGCCTAATTGAGATTCTGTAGCATATCCATGTTGTAGCACTGGTAGATTGTGTTTTGCTGAAAAAAACAAATAAATATATAAAGATATACATGTATATTGTCATCTGAACAAATTAATTATTTAAATAACTACATTTTCTTTTGATTAAGAAACAATCAATTACTTAAAAAAAAATTATCTGAACAATTATTGTATTGTGTATTGCTATGTGAGAAAGTAAATTATATAATTCCTGATTCCAAGTAAAATGATGGTCCAAAATACTTGGAAATTTAAAATTTGTTGTAAATTTAAAATTTGTTGCAAATTTGTATAACATTTTGAAATGTACAAAAATGCTACATTTATCATATATATGTGTATTGCTATGTGAAACAGTAAATTATATAATTCCTGATTCTAGGTATTAAATGTAATTCTCGATATTTTGTAAACAAAATTAGATTATATGAATTCGACATTGACCATAGAAGAGAGTCTTTTTCTAAACACCTCCAAGAACACTGTTTTACTTGTTTTTGAATCTCCTTTGTTACCGGTTAAAGATATCTAACTTTTTCAAATTGTTATATATACATGTAATCATTGATTTGGTCAATTTTGACTGAGGCAATCCAATGACTTCTTACTGTTGTTATCTCCCCTTCAATACTATAATAAGTTGCATGTTGGTATAACATTACCCATATATTGAAATTAAGGTCAAGGTCATGTTTTAAGGTTTGCTTGGTATTACCTTTTCCGATGAAACTATCCACTAAAGGCTCTAAGGAGCCTGTATCATTCACCCAGATTTTTGCATTAGGTTGTTGGAATGGAATGAGAATATTTAAAAAAAAAAAAAAAAAAAAAACTCCTTTAAATACCCTATTTATAAAATATAAGCAAAGAAGATAGAATGCTATTCAAAAATAAAAAAACAAAAAAGTAATGTATTATGATTGTGATCTGTAGTTTAAACAATGCAAATTTCAAAATGTCATGATAATGACAACCTTAATCATTTCATCTTTGTACAAATAAGATAAACAATATAATTTTCAACTAAATACAAACCTAGTGATGACTGAAATACATTTGTCTGATGACTTTTCTGTACTTTAGTTGGAAGACCAGAAAATTTACAATATGCCTACAAATAAAAAAAAAAGCATTATTGACTAATGTATTTATCAAATTCAGAGCTCTTTCATTAATGACTTTAACAAAGACACTATTATTTTCATATTTACATAATCATACCTACATCATTTTCTATTAACAAGTTTATAAAAACAAGATTTTTCAAAGAAGATATTATAATTACAGTACTACACATCCACAGAAGTTGACTGTTTTCAATTTTCATATTTTATGCTTGATCTTTAGAAGCTATGGTAATTGTTTCCCATCTACAATAACAAAGTAATGAAAAGGTTTTTTTTAGAAAAGCATGAAATACAATGGATCTTGTATGAGGTAAACTCAAATTACAGATGCCCTTTAAACATATATATCTATTAATGATTAAATCAATGTGAAAATAGAATATAAAAATTTAAAACTTAAAACAATGCTTAACAGTGCATGTAAAAAAGTCTCATAGCAGCTGGTTCACATTGTTATCCTACATGTATAGAATAAAGTTCTTAGCAAAAAAGTAATATAATTGTAAGGTAATTAATTACATTAAAAAGGAATGTAATTGAAATGTAATTAATTACTTTTGCATATTATTGAGGTCTGGTTGATATTTAAAATATTACAGCTAGGTCAAATTAAATAGAAAAAAGAAGAAAAAAAGAATTTTTTTTTTGTTCGGTAGTGTGCCAACGGACAGTGACCAAGTATGGCCGAAATGACTATTGCTAAAGTAGTAGAGTGACCAAAAAACATTTTTCATTTACATTGTGATCAAATACATCATAACTATTTCAATATTTATTGTTATAATAATAAAGTTTATTACATTGGTTTCAATGAATTACATTGATTTCCCAGTGAAAAAAAAACATGATAATTTCACATGTGAAATAAATGTGGTTATTTCACTCCTCTCACGTCATACAACAATAGGCGTTGTCCAGACGTCGAAAACGTCCAATCAAAACAAATTGTGAATGTGTAGAAAAAGATATAGTTCCTTACATTTTCTACTTTAATCTCATAAAAAAACCATTTGCCAATGTAATAAAAAGAATAACTAATCAAAGAATTCAAATATCGAAAAATATTCAACTTGTGATCGAACAACACTGATAATTAACTCATGCGCTACGCGCATTCATGAATTAATGTGTTGTTCGGTCACTCGTTGAATATTTTTCTCTATTTGAATTCTTCGATTAGTTATTCTACAAATAATCAACTGTGAAAAATTTTTTAAAACCCATAACTACAACTGTACTCACTGAGAATTGAACCTAGGACCCCTGGCACATAAGCCACCATTCTACAAACTGAAATAAATAAGTCGTGCAGCTTAGCCAGCTAATATAAAGCGACTAAATTTGCTAGGTTAAGGGAAGTACCACTTCACAGTGTCAATGAAACACATGTGTTCCAAGACCAAGTACTGCACATCTGCTTCGTGTTCAATAACACATACTGCAAGAGTTTGTGTCAACTCAATTCAAAGTTGGTTAACAGAAGGGCGAGATATTAACTATTTGCTTACCCAAACTGCAAGACACTCGTTGTCAACTGATGGCAAATCCCAGTTTCCTTTCCAAACTTCAAGGTTAAGCACGTCGTCTGTCATGTTTACAATTATGCGGAATAATAATACCGGAAGTGAAAAGAATTTGTTAATTTCGCTTCTTTCAGATTAGAAATCAATCATTATTTCTCTTGAATTATGAAAAACGGAATTTTTTTATTACTTTTATGAAGAAGGTTATATGCGTTTCATGAAAAAGTGGTATTAGAGATTGCCGAGATACGATTATTAAGTGGATTATATTTTACCGTTTTATTTTCCTGTGGGGTGTTGTTGGGCATCGGTTTGTGAATGAGTTGGCATCATGTTTCCCAAAACATTATCTGTAGCTCTAGTGGTTATATTTTTGGCTGTTTTATATTCAAAATGGTTTCCAACAGTGGTAGAAGTCATCAATCCAACAGAAACAAGAATTGTCATGGCCTGGCAAAAAATCATAAAGCCACCAATGAAAAAATTCCAAAGACTTGTTGTTGGGTAAGGACATCATTAATAATTAACCTTTAGCTTACCTTGTCTGACATCTTTAAACCAGCAGACAATACTTGTTAATAAAGCATCATATGAGATGACCATCGTGAATGCTGGCCTATTTTTGTTAAATTTTTCACATCAATCGATTTAAATACCCTTTATTGGCTTTAATCTCCTGCACTACATAGTCTTGCATAGACAACTTTCAAATTGGTGCATTTCCCTGTATATTTCCTATGTCACAATGCTTACATATCACATTAAGAACCAATTGTACATTAATGTTGTTTGCGTTGATTGACCTAGGGTCATAATTTAAAATATTTGACGTCATAATTAAAAAGTGGTTGCATGACGTCAGAATGTTATTGGGAGACAAATCTAGGGTCATCTGGAGCAAATACAGATAAATACCCCAAATTGTTAATACTTCTGTACATAGTAAAGGATGGGGTTTCACATTTTGGCCCTAGTGATTTTTTTTAAATATGAAAGTGATTGCTTAAAAATCATTTACCGGTAACCCATTTTCCGCCCATCCCGCCTGTATTTATGATTGCAACAGCCATTATATTATAGCCTGTATGACCCCCTATACTTTTTTAGAACTACAAAAGCTGAACTGAGTTGATAACAGGAAGTTCATTTTGCAATTCATGGTCCGTAAACCGTTTCCAGATGTGTTGTTTTGAAAATATGACAACTTTTATGCCCCTCTTGGAGATAGAATTGGAAAAATGTGAAAAGTCTCCAAAACTACAAAATGGAGGTATAGGAGTCATTTGTTGACCACTACCTTAATGGTATAGGCCTCAGGTATTTAATGTTATCCTAAATGCATCCATCATTGTCTATAGGTAGTTCAGAAATACAAGGAAGTAATATATTGCCAGAACAATTCAGGTTTGTAAAATCTAGGTCACTGTTTTGTCAGAAATTTTTTTTGATTGAAAAATAGACTGAAAAATTACCATTTTTCAGCTGGAGTTGGTATCTTAATAATTCTAAAGCCAAATATTTGTTGTTTTTTTTTCTTTCAATTTTACCCAGCAATCCATTTATGTGTATTTAGAATGATTACACCACAATAAAATTGACATAGTGTTTACATATTAAAGTTATGAAAGTAGTTTCAGCAGCATGGTCTATTGAATTGTAAATAAAGGGGGGAGGGAATCTAATGTACCAATCACAATCAGGTAATTGTAGATATCCAAACCATATAAGAATTACATGATAATCAAGACTGTTCTACATATACTGTATTTTTCAATGCAAATTTACAAAAAGATATGAGGTGGAAATGCACCTTATTTTTATTTAACTCTTAATAGATAATTGTCAAATGTTTCAGGGAAGGTATTTGTTAAAGTATGGAAAAGACAATGAAAGAGGAAGGTCAACAATTATGAGGGTTAATTTTATTTATTTTTCAAGATGTGTATTTCTACATTTTTTTTCAATAACTGAACATGGGCAACACATATATACATTGTATCTAGCTAAGAGTGAAATTGAAGGTTGCATGAATACTGATTCAAATGGGTTAAATTATGGACCGGCAAGCCAATACAACATTAGCAATGTTTTTGAGTTTATTTTGACAAAATTGAACTATACTGACTGCTAATAGCAAAATAACATTTCTGTATTATCATGATTATGCTTATGTAATTTTTTTAGGAAAATAAAATCATAAGTTATTTTTTGTTTAATTAGTAGCTAATGTCCTTTTAACAGGATGTTGAAGATGAAGAAAAGAATCTAAATTGTATTTCATTGGTATGATTCAGTGCTGTTTGTAGAGAAATGGATTATTTTTTTATTTTAGTATGAATTCAGTTAGGCTTTTTGTAATATTCATTTCATTGGTATGATTCAGTGCTGTTTGTAGAGAAATGGAATATTTTTTTATTTTAGTATGAATTCAGTTAGGCTTTTTGTAATATTCTATAGACATGATGGACTCAGATAGATTAATAACTGGTCACATATTGTATGGACAACTGTGCATTTTGTCCTCCAGATTTTTTAATAGTTAGGTTGCAGTCGAATTAACGTATACCTCTACATCTCTTTAATTCAGTTTGAATAAAATATTTATTTTTTAGCTGCAACTCGAATCTTGACTACATAGTACCGGGAACAAAGCTACTACAATCTTTGAATGTGGAACCAGGTGACAAGACCGATCACGGAACTTTACATAGCTTAGACCATCTTCAACAGACATTTTCTCACTTCTTTTCAAAAGGTGCTGCAGCAGAGAGGAGCTTTATGGATAAAGATGTATTCAGGCAAATTACAAATGCAGCTGAAAATTTAGATGATTTACAGGTAATTAAACAGTTCAGTGTGATTTTTATAGGAAAATGTTAGTACTGTAAATTCAGAAAATATATTGTGCATTTGTAATTGCGATTTTTGAAGAATGGAAAAAAATATGAGAATAATTATTGCAATTTCATGAAAATCTGCATACAGATATATGTATTAGATATCAGAATGCAAATTTTTATTATTGCGATACTCAACCAGTCGCATTACACACAATAATAAAAACCTCACAATAATTTCTGAAGTTACACTGAGTAATATAATGACAATGTATTTCTTTGGGATGGGGTTACATTTGTAATAGTAATGTAACAATACATTTTTTTATGGATGAATAAAATTTATATTATTAATGCAATAGTAAGTAATTCAGTTATGATAGTAGTAGCATGTTGAAAGTAAAACATATATACCTTTTCTAGAATATTACAATATTTATCATTTTTTTCATTGTAGTGTATTGTTACAGGGAAAAATCTAGGGCCCAACCTGCCACAAAATGAAAGATTAACATATTAGCCCTATGGACATTTTCTGCTTAACTTTAGGGACCCAGCCAAAAATTTATTATCTTTGACTACTTGTCCCTGCTAATAGTTCCCCCTAAGTTACATGTCTCTATTGTACTATTTCTACAAGAGAAGGAGGAAAAATATATAATTATCTCCATTCCAACAAAATGAAGATAGTCACATTCCTTAATTTTCTTCTCGTCTATAAGGCCTTTCATCTTTGTTATGTCTAAATATTTAATCGTCCAGGAGCTTACTAAAGTCTTTTTAGTATCTTGATAACAGATTTTTTACAGAAAACTATTAATTTTCTTATAAGAACTATTAGTCATCTAATTCAGCTGTTACAAGATTATACCAGTTTGCTTATTTGGTCAATATTTTTGCATGTTCCATTAAATATAAATCTGAAATCATGTTTTATTGGTGTGTAATGAGTATGATATTTATTTTCCATTCATGCTTTATCTATAATGTTTAATAACCATTAGGCCAACTAAAGTAGGAATTTGGTGTTAAGATTTGAAGTTAAAATATAAGTGTTTTTTTCAGGTATACATAGGAGGGAATGCTGCTTTGATGGCTACAAAAATCACAGAAATGTTTCCCGATGTAAAGGTATGAAAATGTCAGAAAAATATTTTTTATCTTTGAAAAACCCCAGAGAAACAAAGAAACACAATACTTTACTTAAAAAAGGAAGAGAACACAGATTAAAAATTAACAGTTATACATTTACTTTTTGGCACCAAATTTAGTTTATTAATATTGATTTTAAAGATGTATCAACTGGGCATATTGGCTAGGGAAATGAGAGGCAAATGATACCTAAGTCACATTCCAACTCATTAGTCGAAAACAAACTGACATATATAGCCATGGAAAAAACTAAAAACAATCAAAAGACAAACAACAGTACACAAAACACAACATAGAAAACTAAAGACTGAGCAACACAAACCCCACTAAAAAAACAGATGTTAAAGTTATGAATATTTTCAACAGGACAATTAAACAGAATTTTTGCTTATTGAAATACAGTATTTGTGTTTGTTATTATTATGCTACAGACAGGCTAGAGATTAAGATGAATTGTTTGTATCAATTAATGTTAGAAAGTTAATAAAACAAAAGTTATTCTTTGGTTGTTGTAAGTTAATATTTCATATACATGTATGGTGTTGTGGTAGTGTTCCATTGGGTAATCTGATTCGTCAAGGCAAACTGTGGCGATACTTTCATCAGAATTAATTGTTCCCCGCGAAACCTGTTGCGGGGGACATGAAAATACCGGGTGTCCGTCCGTCTGTCCGTCCGTCCAGTCTTGTTAGCACTCTCATGTGTACAATTCTTGCCAGATTTTTATGAAACTTATGTTATCATAGGTTTATATCAGCAATGTCTTTGACAATTCTAAAATAAGTGCTGATCAAATATTTTTAACAAGTTATGCCCCTTGGAAAAATTAATTATAACAGAAATCGCATTGCATTTGCTCTGAAGCCTTCATTTCTCTAAGATATTTATAAATTATTTTAAAGAACAAAAAAAAGTACTTTTTTAGTTATTGCTCTTGAATATATAAAATATGTGCAACGCGGGGGACATTGGAACTCTGTTCTTTTATTACTGTTGGCATATTGTTCTTGTTCGCTACATGTTGATATCGAATTGATATTGTTCAAATTGACACCTTACACAGATAAACCAGGAGAAACTAAATTGTCCGATAAACATCAGAAAAAGAATTGTTGATATCAAATAGATGTTGTCACTTTTGTGGATATCGACAACTTTAGTAGACGGGTAAAGTGAAAACTTATGAAAAGAAAAATTCTTTGTGGATAATTTTTAATGTCAATATTGACATCTGACACAGAGTGACTAATTTAGAAAATGAAATCTTGAAGTAAACATTATATCTACCATGTCTCTACAAAGTGCTAGGGTTGGGATAAAGTGACTGCAGATATTAGTATGATGTCCTCTATATCGTTACTACGTCATGTATTGGACATACCTCAAGGAATCGAGGGAGACATGTATTTGTATCAAAATCAAACATGAATCAAAAGGGTTTTTCTTGGCAAAGAAAATGTTGTTTTAATGTACATATGTCACCTTCTTAAACTCAGAAGATTTTCAAAATTTGATTGTTTCTTTGTAGATACAATACATTGGACCAGTGGGACCAAAACTTAAAGAACTATTTCCAGAATCTTTTACCATTCCAGAGAGCAGTCACATTCCTCACGATGAAATCCATCTCATTATGGAATATAAAGTTGACGAGTCCTGGGGCTCACATACAGCTCCAGTCGCAACTAGATTCATCACTAGCTATGATGAATCAAATTCTAAAGCTACAATGTTGGAAACATTTTTTGATAATTTAGAAAATTTCAGTCCTGATATTATTTTACTGTCAGGTTTACATATGTTAGAGGGTCAAAGTGACGAATTTTTCTCACAGAGGTTGGCTGTTGTGAAAGAAGGATTGAAAACCTTACCAATAACACTTCCAGTACATCTAGAGCTAGCTAGTATGGCTCATAAAGATTTTGTAAAGAAAATTTTGGAAGAGGTATGTTTTAGTCTTTAAAAAAACAAAGTTTGGGCTATATACTGTTTTATAGATAAGACAAATTTAAGTGTTTTTTTCCAATTTTTAGTGCCCCCTATACAAATGTTCACCTATTTTGAAGAAAATTGTTCAGTAATATTTAAGGAAATAAAAGAGATAAATGCATTATTTTATGATTTTCTGTTCAAAGTTTAACATTCCACAGCAGTATGCAAACTTAATAAAATCTGTGACATGACCCATTTACTGTATTTGACCTTAATATTCTGTTGAATCACAAAATGATACCTACATAAGATAAGTATCAGGGACAGCTGGCATCCTTAATAGTTAGTTGGATCATGGAAGTATTTTATTGACTGTAATACTTCCATGGTTGGATGTTCACGATAATGACCTCCATAATAATATCTTACTTTCAAGTATTTTATTTTTATATTGTATAACTTGTTAGTACTTATGCCTCAGATAATCAAGCCTGCTCAGGGAGGAATTTTTTTGTTTTGTTGCAAAAAGGATTTCACAAATGAACATTACAAGAACTGCACCAGTCACAAAATATCAATTGAATAGTTATGCTTTATGGTGCGTAAAGATGAATTTTCTTTATAAAACACAAATAATATATTGATCCTTTCATACGTTTGAACTAATAGTGTGTTTATAAAGCTATTTATTAATCAATCATATAGTTTACTTATGCATATGCTTAATTCATTGAACATGGCTGAAGTATATTTATGTTAAAAAAGACATTTTTATTTTGAAAAAGGTGAGTGTTTAAAACAGTAAGTGGACCAAATGCACTATGACAAACTGCATTTAAAAAATGAAGAAATGGTATAAAATATAGGTCAATGAGACTAGTGACCTTTCAATTTCAATTCAGAACTACCATATATATAAACAAATTTTGTAACTTTTAAAAAAAAATGTAATTTTACTTTTCTTTTAGGTGGCACCACATATTTCATCATTGGGATTAAATGAACAAGAATTGTCCTTCTCCTCGCATGCAGCAGACGGTCCACATAAAAATGACTTTCAGGAAAGAGAAGGACAGCCTGAAATTCACAAAGTTACAGACATGGTCTTATGGATATTAAAGACATTCGGATATTCTGAAGACAATCAAGACAGTAAACTAACAAGAGTTCATTTTCATTCATTAACGTTTCATATTATTGGAACAGTGAAAGGGGCGTGGCACAACAATAAAGAAGCTGTGGCCGCAGGAACAAGAACAGCTGGAGAACAAGCATGTGATATGAAAACTATTCAACCAGATAAAGTCAAATTAAGAATTCCCAAAACATTTAAACTATTTACAGGGGATGGTGATCGAGAATTTGATGAATTTAATCCAGTTTTATCATGGGAATTAGAAGGTTATAAGTTTGTTTTTAGTCCAGTTTTAGTTTGCATTAATCCTTTGCGAACTGTAGGTTTAGGAGATGCCATTTCATCAACAGGTCTCATGTACTCCGAATATAATCCTGATTTTAGTAGTTGATGAAACTGGTCTATAGAACTTTGGGATAAAATCTCATTCCATTCATTTTAACATTTTTTTTTATCATTATACTCCGTTCACAATTAAGATACCTGATATTTTAGAGGGGTTTGTTTTTGTATTGTTGGTTTGTACATCATGTTCCATATTCATATACCGGTAGTTCTTTACAAATTAATTAATAATACAGATTATCTATGACTTTGAAAAAGAGAAGGAGTTTCTTGGTTCATCAACGAGCGATAGCCCTGAGTTGAGATCCAGCTGAGAAACTTTCTCCAGTTGAGAGACCATAGATAATCTGTTATTTTCCTAGGCAACATCAATGACATTGGCAGATGAAGTCAATGTGTACTCACTCTACATGACTTGAGAAAAACCATTATCAGTTTAGTCTCTTGATATGGATAATTATCACACAAAAATTATCAAAGTAAAATTTAAGAAAATAGCGATATAAAAGGTGACATATTATCAATATGCAATAATGAATTGAATTCAGAAATTGTATGTAGTATTGTTTATGTAGTGTGGTTGTTTAAAAAAGTTGTGGGTTTTAAACCCCTCTAGTAGTTAAAGGAATGATTTGAGTAAAGTTTTTTTATGATTTCAAGATAGATATGATATGTACTGTAACTAGCTTATTGATGTTCTGATATTGCTTTAGTTTGAATTGATAACAAAATAAACTTATGAACCATTTGTAGCAGTCATTTAGGAAGAACTATACAATCATGTGAAAAAAATACGACAGATAAGATACATGTATTTTACATAATTTTATGCAAATTATGTAACAAATCAGATTACATGTGTATTGTAACTCAGGGTTTTTGTTGACATTTTTCATATTTAATATTTTTAAGAAGCGTTTATAAAACAGATGCATCAACATACAACAGCTAACAGTAAGCATTGTGTTATTTATTGCAATTGTCCATGCTAAGTTACTTTAAATATTGATTATTTTACTTATTTACATTTAATTGAATAATTATCAGCCTGATGATGTATTCCATGCATGTGCAATTTATTATGTTTTTAAATCACAAATATCAATTTGAAACTGTTTGTTTTTATGAAAAAAAGTTATTTATTTTTAATAATTCAAATGATATGTAATACCATAGTCAATTGTTGGTTGTTAAATGTAAAGTTAGTTATGTTTCAAATACATATTTTTAAATCAGCAACAGTATTGAGGGTGATAAATTGTTATTTTGTGCAATTAAATGTGTTTGCCTTTTATATGTTGTCTGCTAGCAATTATTTTCTGTTTTGTGTTAAATAGGTAAAATAAGACATTGCAGGACTAGATTTAAATTTTTTTTTATCATACTTTACGGTAAAGAAGATGTTATTCACTGTCCCATTTTTCTTTAACTTAACTGTAATTTTCTTGATACTTATGTGTTCAGCACATCTATATATACTCATGATAGTCCATGGTAATAATACTTGTACTACTTTTACTGTACCTTACCTATGATATCAATTGGGGGAAAGTGTTTCGGTTTGCATCTATAGTCATCTGTTACTGAATGAGCTTTTGGTAATAGATCATGTTTTAAGGTGGTGTAGTTTAAAGTGTGTGTAATATTAACAGAAGTCCATTCAAGATGAGGCCTATGCCAAATACATTTTATATGTCTAGAGAATTTTGTTGCCTCTATTAAAATTCAGTGATTAGGGGTAAACAGTTGGTTTAAGTTACAATTTTATATAGTTTCATATTATATTCATGCATTGTTTACATTGATTTGCATCCATGAATATACCAGATACAAAATACATAAAATAAATTGTCAGTATTTAGATAAATTTCTGATGAAGTTGATGATGATGTTGATGGATGGACATTTAAAATCCTGTGGCAAATTAAATACATATTTAGGACAAGAACATGTTGATATATTATGAATTTAAACGCTGTTTTGTGCTTGATTGAAACCCTGTGCCAGATTTTTTACATGCTAGTTCACAAGTTAACAGTTTGTGGAAGAGCTGCATCCAGACCCAGACTCTTTATTCTAACTCCAGGCCAATAAGTCTTTGATCGTACTAATGCCTTCTGGAGAAACAGCTAATACCAATTTTCATGTCTCTGGTGTGACCCAGACAGGGATGGTTGAAGTAAAGATTTTAGGTATTTACATATAAACATCTTCAGCATCATTTGGTCTCTGGAGGAGAGTTGTCTTATCGGCAAATATACCACATCTTATTTTCATATCACTAAAATGGGATCCCCATTCAGACTTTTGTTAGTTAATATATGATAACTAAATAAGATAGCTTGAGCTGTTCCTTTGAAAAGAAAATTAAAAGCAAAAAAATGTGATAAACAATTTATTATGTAAGATTTGCTAGATATAGATCTTATGTATCCAACTTTTAAAATTAAATAAAAAGATCACCTTTGTACTTCAACCTCCGTTTTGCTGCCAGTTTTGAGCATAGATAATATGCTGACTTGTAGGAAGCTGCACTTAAATCAGATCTTTAACCAACATTTGCATTTATATATATTTACTTAAATTGACCTATAGTTGTTTTAAACTTCTACGTCATTTGATCTCTGTTGGAAAGTTGTCTCATTTGCAATCATACCACATCTTATATTTATGCTAAATTATAATTGAAGTATCTTTTCATCAAATTTTTGACTAGACCCTTGTTGTTACCATGAGAAATATAGCATATAACCTTTTATAATAAGTAGTTATTATAACACCTGTAACCAAGAGCAACACTTTTAATCAGTTATATACAAGGAATGATAAAGACATTTTATAAGGTGATAATTTCTTTATAAGTGAAACACTGCCATATATGTGATACTGTGTTAAAGTAGCCTTTCATGATTTTTGTTCTTTTTTAAAATTTATTGATCTTTAATGAAATCTCTGTAGAATTTTCACATTATGACAGAAAGATGCATAAAAACAGATCTGGTTTATGAGACAGCAACCCAACTTTAAACAAAAAGCATTGTATTACATTGTATTCCGTTTCAAAAAGAAAAACAGTCCTTTTTCTATTTACCAACTTAAAGTCTGTTTCCAATTTAATGATGAATTTGATGTACTTAAGCTTTTATGACTTTTCATTATGTAATCGCCGTTTTTGTCATCCCATTATTTCATTATATGTGTAATGGGCTTAAGAAGTAAAATTACTGTTACCGCACAATAAACCAAGCTTGTTCTGCTTGCTTTTTATAGGCAGGGATACAGTTTGTCCTACCTTGGTGTTGTGTCCTTTAGTAAAAATCTAGAATTAGAAACAAATTGGTAATTGAAAAATACACTATTGTTGCTAGAAATTAGAACAAAATTATGAATTTTTAAAATGTTACTTGTTATAGCAAAGTTGACAAGTTTCATGAAAAATTAAAATATGATATCAGAAAAAATAATCCGAAAAGATCAGTTAACAGTATTAGTTATTAGACAGTAATTGATTTACTGTGCCACAAAATATTATGTTGTATAATTTATGATAAAAATTGTTCCCATCTACTTTGTGTCATAATTTAAAGATTTCAATGTCTCTTTGTCCTAAATCTTTTTATTAAAGATGTATGTTTATATGCATGATATTGTTATTTAATTTTTTTTGCCAGATATGAATATCAAAATGTTTATGCTGCAATGGATGACCAGTAAAAATATGTTCACTGTGTACATTTATGTGATGTACAGTACCTGTCAATATAAACTCTAAGCCACGCCAACCGCTGATGCTTTTTAAAAATCGTAACGAAATTTACACACTTCAGCAAGACAGGCACAGACATCAACTAAGATTTCCTACAAAATTTAGTTTGTGTTTTTATTTGTTGATAAATTTGTTTCAACAAGACACATCTTTTTTAAAACATAACAATTTAACTTCCCTAAAGTAAGAAGTAACCTTAAAAATCAATGTAAAAAAAAAACCAAAATGATAACACTAAATGTGTATGACATTGTTTCAGATTGCAGTATAAAGACAAAATAGTGTTTTGACTTGACATAATATTTTTGAAAAAAAAGCTTGTTCTTTATATTGTAATATGGTCTTTATGAATTATGAGTAAGACAAAGTCCCATTGTTAATTTTATCTCATTTTTTAGCTCACCTGGCCCAAATAGTGTCCATTGTTGAAGATGCGCACAGACTTAGGTGATCGACACAGGCTCTTTAGAGCCTCTTAGTTTCATGTTGAACTCACCTGGCTTCAAGAGATTACCTGGAGCTTTTACTGTAACTTGGCATCAGATTTCCCTATTTGAACCAATCTTAGCATGAATAAAGAATCAAAGCTTAGTCAAAAACAAATCTAATTTTTTCTACAGGCCATCAGAGGTAATTTAAATGCAGATATGCCAATTTTCAAATTCTTTTCCTTTGAATCTAAAAGGTGTAATCTTCTAAAACTTTAGGGGAATGATCTCTTAGTGATGCAATAAACAGATTCCACAGTTTTTTTGTGCTTATGTTCAGATACTAAAGAGGTGCCTTTGCTCAGGTACCATATTGGAAATTCTTGTCAGAATGCACTAATCCAGTGTGAACTAAACAGGAAGGATGGGAGGTCCTAAGAGTTTCTATGTTCAGTTTTCTAATTTCTTCTCCTTAAAAGCTTGCAAGCATTATATAGGTATAAGAAGATGTGGTATGAATGATTATAAGAAGATTGTCTAAAAAGTCTTTTAAATTTATTTTTTAATTGTTCCAATCTTATGAAAAGCAACAAAAACATGAAAAGTGACCTGCCTGAAAGCACAAAAAGTTTATTTTGAGTTGTGCACCTTTGTACTTGCATACTTTAAGAATGATCTCCAATGTTAAGGAATAGATTACCTTAGTTGTATTTGGCAAACCTTATTGGAATTCTGGGTCCTCAATGCTCTTCAACTTCATACTTTATTTGGCCTTTAAACTTTTTTGATTGGAGCCTCACTGATGAGTCTTTGTACATGTTGCAGACGAAATGCATGTCTGGTGTATAAAATTTTAATCCTGGTATCTATGATGAGTTTATATATTACTTAAATAACATATTGTTATGATTCCATAAGCTCTCTTAGATTGTTGAGCAATACAGGGATCTGAAGCATCTAGTCCAAAAACCTTAGGTATCATTCATATAAATTTTATGAGTTTATATCTGTGTTGTTGTCATAATGAAATATAAAATCACAGATTCTATTCCATGCATTAATCAGTTGCTGTGAGGTCTAGAAATATATGTCCAACGATAGTATTGCTACATGGTCTAGAAGTACATGTCCCAATGATATTATTGGTGTATTGTCTGTCCAATAATTTGATCTCTGGAAAAAAATTAGTTCATTTGGTTAGGTACATATGTTTGGGTTGCATTTTATCTGTGTTGTTTTTTATGAAGTATAAATATTCAAGATATGTAGGTCAGAATAAGTCAAAATTTCAAAATTGCATTTAGAGATAAATGTGCCATTTAGATAAACATGTTCAAAATGTGCATCTCCTAGACATACAATTTTAAAATAAGAAGACAACATAAAATAGTTTATTCCTTGCTTAAGTGCTTATCTCATCACAGAAGACCTGCCAAGATGGAGAGTACCGGTGGTTAAATCTTTCTTATTTCTATATTTATCTACTGAACTGATTGGCTTTAGAAAGGATATGGAATTTATAGGTAGATTTCTAAATAATCTAGTGGTTTCTTGCATATCTGCCATTTTTTCAAAATCTCCACGGGTGATTTTAAGCAAATCAAAACCAACATGTCATAAGTGTGTTTAATCTTAGGTAATGATTGTGAATGATTTGAATATCTGTTTTGATGTTTTTAGGATTTCAAGAGTTGGGTCAACACTCTAATCGGGAAAATTCCTCATGAATCAGGAAAGTTGGCAGATCTGTAATCCTGCATATTTGTTATTTATATGACCTTCACACTAATTAATAAGCATAAATTTAATCAAGTTTACATAACCAGGAATGGCTGAAATGGGTTTGTAACCAAGTTTTTGTATAGTAAGTCTTACTACATATACCCTTGATGTTACTTAGAAAATTAAGATGTCAAACTCTTGAGTAACAATTATCAGTAATAGTATGTGCATTTGTCTAGAAATAAGCTTATAATTTAGTAAGCAAGACATGCATTTTCCTCTACAGAAGAGTCATTGGTGAAAACCTGTTCTAAGCTTCCAACATACCCTTATGTACTACTGGTTACTTGTTTCATTATAGCAGCTGTGTTTTGTAGCCATTGACCACGGTCTGGTCACCCCTTATAAACCCTTTTATACTCCATGAAACTTAGATCAAAGATTCGCAGGTCTGTAGATTGTTTCGTAAGTAAAGAATTGGAAATAAATACATGCCTTATGGACCTCTGTTATATTCTAGACTATATAGGCTCGTAGCACAGGCACTGGTCTCTGTTAAATAATATACGTATTTATCGTTTAGGAAAGGTATATTTTTGTAGGTGGTCTGCAAGAAGGCAAAAGTTCTGTCCCTGTTCAACAGTCCTCCTTTTTCAAGTTGCAATCTAGATTTCAAGCTCATTGGACGTTAAGCAATAAGAAATCAACCAATCAAGATTTTTAACCTTTTATCAGATACGTTCATCATAAAAATAAAAATAGGAAAGCCAGAATTCGTAAAACATTTGACACATAATAAAGAAAGCAAGACAGCACTATGTACAATGCTCGTGATTAATATTGTTCGTCGCATATACAGTCCATCTAATATTGTGTCTACGAAATGCACGGACTTATCGTACAAACAAAATTCGGAAATGACGATGTACAACCAAGGAGGTTATATTAGAAAACCACAAGAAAAACCAACTACAATATTTTCTCATCCGCCAAAGGTTCAATCCTTTTCTGGACAACAAAGGAGATTTTCCATTTAACATAAAAGAGAGGCGAAAGATACCAAAGGAACATTTAAACTTATAAGTCGAAAATAAACTGACATTGCCATGGCTAAAAAAGAAAAAAAAAATACCAACAGACAAACAACAGTACACAAAACACAACATAGAAAACTAAAGACTGAGCAACACGAACCCCACCAAAACTGGGGGTGATCTTTAGGTGCTCCGGATGGGTAAGCAGATCCTGCTCCTCGGGTGGCACCCGTCGTGTTGCTCATGTTAGTACAAACCTGGTGATGAGTCTAATTCGGTAGGTCACTTTCGGGGAAAAGGGGGCGGGATTGTAGTTACAACAATTGGAACATATCCGTTGTCATCTGTGAAACGGATATTCAATAACGGTCAACGAACTCGTGATGGCGTCCGTAAAATTAACGAAGGAATGATTTCAACTTCACCAATTGGAACTCTTGGTCTAATAGCTTCCTTGTGAGCAGCAACCCTCTATCAAGGAAATCATGATATGAAATGCATGCCCTAGAATATCGTTTCAATTGGGAGATATATACTCCGTATACAGACGCTGCTTGGATGTTGCTACATAGAAATTTCACAATTGGGAAGCTGAAATCATCTCTTTTGTCGTAAAGTTTTGTTTTCAACCGACCCTCGTTGTCAATTTCTAGATGTAAGTCATGATATGAGGCAGACTTAACTGTATCTGTTGTATCCTTTATCTCAAGGATGGGATAGATGCTGCGTTCAACATAGTCACCAAATGTTGAATTGTTTAGTGAGAGATCATCATCTATATAGCGGAAAGTGAATTTAAAAGATACCTGCTAACTTCTTTTCTTTCTTCCTAAGAAGCTCCTGGATGACGTCAGCTTCATATGAATTAAGGAACAAGTCGGCAAGAAGAGGGGCACAGTTTGTTCCCATTGTTTGTTGAAAAACACGTCCTCCAAACATAACTGTCAATCAAGAAATCAAGCATCTTGATAATGTCAGTTTCAGAGAATTTTTTGTTTGAATCAGAGTGATTTTTTACAAATTACGATTTATCCCTCCCTTAGACAAGATACTTGTATCTACGTTGGCCATTCTTTTTTTATGAAACAAAGCAGGACCAACCCTTTCAATTTGTCTTGCGTTATGACGTGAAATCGACCATCGTACGGCAGACAGCAAAAGAAATTTGCAATTAGACGATCGCTAACAGGATCAGCGTCTGGATAAGTCGTGCACCAGGGATTTGAGAAACCTATGGAACAGATAATGAAGGTATAGGACAGGGTATATGGAATCATAGACAACAAGGACCAATTACTTGCAGAATTTTATAGTGCAAGACAGGGAGACCATGACGATGTTACTACTTGGAGTAATAGTTTACAGGATATATTGGGTATAAATAAACTTTAAACGGGCATTGATCTGCAAAGAGATGAATTCTATGCTACACGCCATGTTTATACAAGTTTATGACAAGAACTTAAGGATATAAGTGGATACAAGTACAACACCATTAAGGATTTCAACCATCTTATAGTAGCGTTGCGTCAATTGGAAACGGACCATCAGCCCAGAAAGTTGAAACCTAATACAGCCAAAACAGTAACAACTACCACCAAAACAGGGTGACAGGATTATGAAGAACTGAATAGAATGGTACAGCCTTTTTGTGCTTCTTTGTTACATTTGTTTGTTTTTATAGTGATTAAGATGATAACACAATGTTGACTGCTGTACCCCTGTTTTTGGCATTTTTTACCTATTGTGTCTGTTTGTTTTGTTCACGCATCGTTGTCAATATAATGGAATTTGATGCGACTGTCATACAAGTGAGAGGTTCAGCTAGCTATAAAACCAGGTTCAATCCACCATTTTCTACATAAGAAAATGCCTGTACCAAGTAAGGAATATGACAGTTGTTATCCATTCGTTTGATGTGTTTGAGCTTTTGATTTTGCCATTTGATTAGGGACTTTCCATTTTGAATTTTCCTCGGAGTTCAGTATTTTTGTGATTTTACTTTTTCCATTAACACATGACTTTACTGAGTTTTAAAGAAACAATTTTTGGGACAATAGAGGTACTTTAACAGGTAGACAATGGTGCAATGGACACCAAGGACAACATCATAGTACAAATCAGTCTCACCAACAACAACCAACCTTCCAACAAAGAGTACTTAGTATCCAATCAACCGAACAACACAGTTATTTGTAGACGATGTGGACAAGGACACATACAAATAGAATACCATGCAAGATTGGATCATTCATTTATGACGAGGTTTTTTTACAACATTTAAACTATTGGAAGTTTTTCTAGTAGGATCAGGTCCAGATTTTAAGGTTAGTAACAACAGAGTGAAGACACCACCTGGATTATTTGGAACACCTTCTGAGACTGACATATATTTGAACGGAAGAAAATTACAGTGTTATTGGATACAGGGTCAACCATATCGACAATTGCAGAGTCATTTTATACAGAATATTTATCAACGACAGTCAGTTCCATTGAAAAATTGAGATAACATTTGAAGTTGAATGCACTGGACCCAATTGTTCAAAAGTGTCATTAAATTTAACGACGATTAACCCTAACGAGGCGTTAAAATTTTAACTCTGTGGTTAACTAATTGCTGCGTTAAATATTGTTGTTCATAAAATGTTAGAGTATCTCGGCTCATTCCGGATATATAGTGGTTAACATCAAGATATCTGGAAATACCAACATTTAATGCTAGTAGTGCCAGATAGTAGATATAGTGAACACATACCAAACATATTACTTGAAATCATGATGTTTTATCTGAAGGAGCATCACAGAGCAAGATATTTGCAGAATGCCGCTTTAACAGCTCCATGGTATATGACCTTCAGATGTTAAACAATGAGGAAAAAGAGTTAACCAAGAACAGCAATAGAGTGACAGTTATAAAAACATGCAATAGAATAACCACCCTTCCGAATACCACAACTACAGTTACTGGCTATTATGACAAAGAAATATTCATACAAAACAACTCCATCTATCATATAATCAACTTCATTGGCAGAAAATTACAGGGAAATTGATATAGAACCAATTTTTAGTAATAGCATCACTAGGGAAATGAAACACTTACAGTCAGATTATCTAACATCACAACCAGAACCATAACCATTCCATCGTAAGCCATAATTTGTGAAATCCAACTAGTTACTATTGGAGCACAATCAACTATAATAATGAAGAAGATCTGAAGTGGATATTACCAAGCATGACCTCGCAGATGAACAACTTGATGAAGGGAAACAACTGATATTGAGATATACCGACATTTTCAGTAGAGGAGACGATGTTTTAGGACACATCAGACAGAGTTAAACAATGGATAGATCTGCTTGATGAGACTACTTTTAAACACCGGTACAGAAGAATTCCAATGCCAATGTATGATCAAGTTATATCTCATCTTAAGCAACAATTTGCATCCGTAATTGTCATCGTTAGAAAGAAAAATGGACAGATGAGAATGTGTGTGGATTACAGACAGTTGAATAAGCAAAGTTACACACCCTCGTATAAATTGATTGATTGGTGTTTAACGCCACTTTCAGCACTATAGTACGATTTCGTGGTGGTCAGTTTTTATAGATGGAGGAAGCCGAAGTGCCCGGAGAGAACCACAGACCTTCGGTAGGAAAATTGACAATCACAGTTAATTAAAATTGGAATCGAGCGCACCTGCCACGTGCGGGATTCGAACTCACAACCTCAGTGTAGATCGGGTAGTGATACAGTAGTTCGACTACTTAGACCACTCGACCATCGAGGCCCTCCTCCCATATAAGAGCTCTTAGTTGCTGTGCTGGCAGTAAATTCTTTTCCGTCGTAGACATGATGTCAGGTTATCATCAGGTGGAAATTTTGGAATGACCATAATGAGTTCACTCCCTTCTCCGTAGGACCTCTTGGCTCGTCGAGTTTGGAGTTACGAACTCTCCTGCAACATACCAAAACCGATGAAGGATTGCCTTGCAGATAACATCCGAAAAACATTCTGCATGTTAATTTTATGACGTCATTATTAATGATATATGAGAAGCACTTTTGGAATATCTGATCCCATCACCAAACAAAAAGAAGACCAAATCCAAGCCATCCTGAGAAAAGTGGAAGGAGCAACATCCATAGGCATTCCAAACACTTAAAGACCTCCTTGAAATTGCATGGAGATGCTTTGGAAGCAATTCTTTATCAAGAGCAACATGTAATGAAGAGAGTCATCAAGTACGTCAGTCGAAGACAGGTTTATATGTATAATAAAATAAATAAAAAGTAGTGTATTTGTTTTTTTAAGGGGAAATGATTGAAAAAAAGAAAGTACTAGTACTCTGATAAAGATATTGTTCCAAATTAATAGTCTTTTCGTAGAAATGACTGTACTGTTCGTTCAGCAGATTTATGCCATTCACATTCCAGTAGGCACGCATTGTACGTCGCTCTGTTGCTTTAGTAATTACATAAAGCAGGAATTTTTCCATGGGTTGTCCCTATTCATTCTTTTCTACTTTATTACATAGATGATGCACTATTTCTACATAATCATAGTCAAAAGTTATTATGAATCACATAGATTCCTTTTTGCTAGTTTCGTCTGTTTATTTTGAGGTTTTTTAAGTTTTCAGTGTTGATTGCTGTTAAAACATGCGTATGGCACGCCATAACTACTTTTATTACTTAATCCTAGATTATCGAACTAAATCTAGGATTTTCCCATTCACACAGGCGCACTACTTGTGATTTATCTTGTTTTAGAAGGGTTTTATATTGTCCTATGGCCTTTCCAACACTTTGTTTTCCCTACTTCCGTATTAATAAAAGAGGAAATGTCTTTTTATATTTGTGGTCAGAATTTTGTCGGTCTACATTATAGTTTATTTCTATAAACCGTTAAAAAAAACACACACACACACGAACGATTCTTAATTTTTATATATAAAATCTAAGATATTTACTAATATAACTTACATATAATAAAAAAAATTTTAACAATAATTTCAACAATGAAATATAATAAAACAAAGGACTATTGTCAGTTGAGACAGTTGAGGACGTTCCTAGAAAATAGCAGCAGTAAAAGTAAACATCTATTCCTTACATGGAATACAAATTTTAAAGACTTGCGACTCTTATTAATTAACGTTTCACAGTTTGGAACCTTTTCTCATTAATTATCCAGAAAATGTATTCAAAATACAATAATTGCGACTGCATGAATGCATGCTGGAATTAAGATTGACTTTCGGGGGAGGGAGGGGTACTATATATATTACAAAAATTAATTAACTGTATATATATTGTATGTCATGTTAATAAGGTAATAAAATATTCATACTGGAATTCTCGAAAGTCGTTTGATTATTAAATATTTATCTAACATATTTATATCAAATATGTTATATTTAAAGCAGTAGAATTATGCTTTGTTATAAAAAATAAATGCATTAAAAATGAAAAAAATAACAATGATATACAATTAATGGTATGAAATAATTGATGAAATGCACAGATGATATTTCTGAACTTTAAGTCATATTAACTTTCAAACGACACGATTACGGGAGTTATGATATATGTATTGAAAAAGTTTATGTTTATTACTAATCAAACTGGAAAGACCATATCACACGTAACTGTCAGACTAAGATATCTTTTAAATGTGTCTATGACACAATGACATTATTATTCTAGTGCAATCTTAAACGCAACGTTTGAAACAGCTTGGATGTTTAATTAACCATCCAAGAATCAATTTAAAAAAAGAGCCATACTAAAAACGTTAATGCGCAAAACATTGATTGACAGGAAGATGATGCAGGATATTGTAAAGCATGTGTGCATTAATCTATTTGTCCGTAATTAAATTCCAGACTCCTTTATTATTTGTATGGCTACAGGTCTGTCAATGGAACACCCTCCTACAATAAAAAAATGTGTGTTAAAATAACAAAAATTTGAAAGCATTCACATATACAATTCATTATCTTTACTTGCACTACATATTATGGTTTCATTTGCACTAGCTATATATTGTAGTTTCATTTATTCTCGTTGGTATCAATTTTCGAGATTAGACAAATACATAACCCCATACATGCTGTTTATTTTATTTCGTGGTTTTATCATTTGCTCCAATCAATGTCACTAAACTTGTATTTCATGGAGTTTAGTGGACAGAAACCCAATTTAAAATAAGGAGATGTGGAGTGAGTACCACAACTATCCACTCAAAGTTCAAATGAAGTCGATGTAAGATATGATAGGCAACAACAATGAGAAAAACGCATACCGTATATAAAAATAAGGAGATGAGGTATGATTGCCAATGAGACAACTATCCACCAAAGTTTAAATAAAGTGGATGTAAGCAATTATAGGCTACCGTACGGCCTTTAACAATGAGAAAAACCCATACCGTATAGTCGGCTATAAAAGGCCCCGACATGAAAAATATGAAAAAATTCAATTGAGAAACTAACGGCCTAATTTATAAAAAATAATTTACGAAAAACAAATATGACAGACATGAAACAACGACAACCACAGAACTACAGACTCCTGACTTGGGACAGGCATATAAAGAATGCGTATAGTCGGCTATACAAATCAGTTGAAAAGGGCTTAACTCATTAGATCGATACAAAGCAGAAACACATCTAACAAACCGGACGTAGCAGGGTATTTTTACATCCCTAACAACAAAAAATGAGAGTACTCGAAGTTACTGACAGCTAGTTCAAAGCCAATCATGTATCTGAGACTAAAATATCAATCAGTACACATCCAATATCCAATGGATTATATGGTATATTTGTGTAAAGACGTCACTTACAGTCAGAGAAAAATATGACCTTGTGCAATGCCAAAATATAGGCAAGGACAGATTGTAGAACCGTGAATGTGCATTTGTGCATAACAATAATATTTAGTATGGTTTTACTGATAACAAAATCAACATTTTTATCAATAAAAAACAATATTCAAAGATCTAATTGCAGTGTAGAACTGCTAACCTTTTAGAAGAAGTTTATTTAAAGGATTAATAAGCCTACCCGGATCGTATCTAAATTTCCGGGCTCGGTTAACAACATGATCGTAAAAATTAGGATGTGCTATTCCCTTTGAAATAAGTTTTCTAAAGGTACAGCCGAACTTCAAAACTAAATCTTTGCATCTTACTAAATCCATAAAAATTGGCATCCGACGAATATTTATGAATCCAAAGTTAAGTAACTGGCAACCTTGCGGTATGAGGTCTCATTAAAATGACCTGTGATCTTTAAAAATATTTTCAAATCTATTATGTGGATTGTCGTTGCTAAGGGGTTACTCTACTAGAGCCCAATCTCCTTATATGTCGTTCCTTGTGAATATAAGTTTTTTTATTTATTAGCAAAATCTTTTAATTGATTACAATTTACTCTTGCATTAAAACTACTAAATTGCAAAAATAAAATATGGATCTCCTTCCTAACAAGAGATCAAAATCATGTCAATTGCATTATTTCTTTTGTGGGGATGTTAGTCATTAAATTTTAGGAGGGCTTTGAAAGACTGTATTGGTAATTGTTCCGAAGGATTTATTTTCTATTCGTTAATCTAAATTATGAATTGTAATTTAATATAAACCACACCCTCTAACTGACTATTGGTACTGCAGATGAAATAGTTCACAACGATCAAAATCTGCACGATTGCAAAATCCAATGTATTGCAACTACCGTGAATCGGAACAGTATACATAAACCTGCTGTACACGAAGAAAAAAATAACAATTGTTTTGAATGGCAATCGGGAACACTATTCCTATTGTGTTTGCCATAGTGACAGCTGGTAATATGGTATACAGACATACAATTCTGATTTAAGCGCGCATGACTAGTGACAAGTGTTTCTGTAAGAAAAGCTCGATACGCTCGAGACCTATAGTTTGTGAACTCAAAAGAAGTAAAAACGTTTGGAACACAAGAACCAAAAAGGCCTAAACAGAATATCAAAAAATCCGCCTAAAACGTACTGTCTGCAATCTCAGTTTTTGGACACGGGCATAATTTCTTTTTGAATGTATCCGTTAAATCAAGGCAGTACCAACGCACTCATTACTAGGTAAGAGGAAGACATGGGAACTGATAGACAACCAGCGGTTGCATCGACATATGATAGTAATATAAACATTCTAATGTTGTGCTGTTATACCACTGTTCCAGATTAGGGGTCTGATTGGGCACCCGCTAACATGTTTAACCCCGCAACATTCTGTATGTGCATGTCTGTCCCAAGTCAGGATCCTGTAATTCAGTGGTTGTCGTTTGTTACTGTATATCATATTTGTTTTCCGTTCATTTACATAAATCAGACTGCTAGTTTTCTTGTTTGAATTGTTTTACATTTGTCATGACAGAGCTTTTATATAGCTTGCTATGGAGTATGGGTTTTGTTCATTGTCGAAGGCCGTGCGGTGACCTATAGTTGTTAACTTGTACATCATTTGGTCTCTGGTGTAAAATTGTCTCATTGGACCATCATACCACATTATTGTGTTGCAAGTAGCTGAAAAAGTAAACTACCTACAAATTACCACAATGATAAAATGGTGTACATTGAAAAAAAAATACTTACAGCACTTCTGTATGTTCGAGTTCCCTGGTATTCTGCCATTACTGGGAGATTTCTCTTCACCACTTCTTCATCACTCTCGAATGAACCATTTACACAGCCTGAATCATTTTCTGTAATTATGTTATAAAATAATACTGAATGATATAAGACCGCTTTGGTAATTCTTTGTCTTATTCGTTGATAGAAATATTCTATTGCTGATTTGAACCATCGTGATAAAATATTACTTCACAGTTACCAGTAGTCTGCAAATTTAGAGATATTTTTTTAATGATATTTATTTTTGTAGGTTTAAAAATGAAAAAAAAAGTTTTGACATAATCTTTTAAAATTTTACCAACCAAAAAAAATCAACCAAACATAAACCAAATCATATATACTGTTTCGAAAGAAACATTTGTAATTTACCTTGTAGTTTTGTATTGTCCAGATCACTGAGTTTATTTGATGGCGTGCGAGACACGCTTGGTCCGCCTGGTTGTGTCTCAGTCGGCGGTTTACTATTTTCTAGCATTGCAATAGCCCTTTTAATGGCCTCTCCTTTTGAACTTTTTGTACTCTTAGATCTATGAATAAGGTTTTTAGTGTCGATATCACTTTCAAAACTAATTCTTGAGCCAACCTGACTACTTGTCCGTTTAACCTCTAAAGAAGGACTTTTCACATGACAAACATTTTTATAAATTGCTCTATTTTCACCGGATTCATTCCTTCTTAGCTTATTTGAGTTATTCTCTATAACCGCATAAGAAACATGGCTGTCTTTGCTTTCGCGATTTGGAACAGGTGGGGTTGTCATAGAAACAATATGACTGTCAGTTTTGATAGTTGAAACGAATTTTGGAGATTGTCCACTATGTCCACTATGAGTTACTGATGCTTCACTAGGAACATGACCATTACTTATAGTTGAGGAATCTGTAAGAAATAACAACAGTGTAAAGTCACATGACATTGGATACAATTCTTCCTAATGAAACCAAAAAATCAAAGTTAATAAAAGGTTAGAAAACTATCTAGGGACCGTGCAAGACCCTCATGGGTAGTCAAGGTCGTCGTAAAAAAAAAACCTCGTCGTCGTAGGGAAGAAATAATATCGGGTTTTTTTTATTCGATGGATAATGTGTGTAATTATTGTGTAAATTATGCATATGATATTCATATTATTAATATTCATATAAATCTGAACTAAAAACAATTATCATGGTAGACTATGGTGCATTTGTTACAAAATAAATCGATTCATTTTCATTACAGACATCATATGCATTATTCAATAATCATATGGTGCCCCGAAAGAGTAACTATATCATGATCCACTAGTGGTTTCCATCGTGTCAAATGATAATGGCAAGTAAAAATTTGGTGACAAGAGAGGCTTGTGGCTGCGACAATTGGAACATATCCGTGGTCATTCATGTTATCCCCAACATATCATATACTAACCTAGATCATCTGTCCCTCTTGTGTGTACTATAATATCATTTTCATACAGAGATCCTGACCCTAACTGTTTCCGCAGTGTCTCTATTTCTTTCTTTGAAAAAAAACCAAAATAAAAATTTAACAACAGCAAAAGAATACCCCAAAAGACTTAAAACCTGAAAAATACACGAAAGTACAATTACAGAGACCTGTCATCACCAGAACAATTGCCATCCGATATATTCTATATTTCATAGTTGCTTTCATTTTTATACTTATGCACAATTTTTAATAATATACTGTTAAAATTACGAAATGCAAATGGTATTAATGTAAAATGAATAATCGAGTTAGTAAAAGCGCATACTAGCATTCTTAATTTTTTTCAAGTATTTACCGTATTCCATGCATGTTTCTTCTTTTAATTCGGCGTCTTTGAAAGATACATCAATCCACGTTTTCGTTAATCTAACAGTTTGAAGAAAAAACTTCAGACTGTCAAAAAAGCCAAAGGCACACTACAACTCATTATAAAGTAAACTATCGCCTAGTAATTCGAATTCGGTCGAAAAAAAAAACGGAAATAACAAAAGTTCTATTACAATTTGGGGATTTGGTATTGAATTCCTCATTAGAATGCTTAAGATAAATAAATCCCGGTTTGTATTTTGACTTTTGTTATCTAGATCTCTTCTTTCATTTGGAGTTTTAGGATTTTTATTTCTTTATAGTAAAGACCTAATCAAGGCAAGTCTGATATTTGGTCATATCCAGCCACTAATGTCCAAGCGGTATAAATTTGTGGAGTGCAGGTATTACTGATATGGTGTGCATGGCATGACTGTTACCTGTTGCTTCTGTACTGTATTAGCAAGCTCTCTTGAACGTTCTTCTGCTTTAGACTTGGCCTTGCTTAAATAATGCACTTCTAAATCCATCTTTTCAGAATAGTCTTCTTTTAATACTACAATGAAAATTTAAGAACATTTACATGGTATAATATTGTTTAGCTTATCAAACTTTTAATTCATCTAAAAAAACAGCTTCATTTAACCGAAATCCAAGTATAACAGTTATCTTAGTTGTTTTCCATCTAAGTGCATATTTTTTTGCAAAGTGTTCTTTTCAACTCCCTAAAATGTCTGATATCTAAGAAAAGGTACCTACCATCTTTTCACATATATTTTAAGAAACTAGCTTTTTTTAACCGAAGTCAAGCTTAACGTTTATCTTACTTGCTTTCTATATAAGTGCGCAGTTTTTACAAAGTGTTCTTTTGAATTTCATCAAATAGCTGATATATAAGAAAGGTACCACCTACCACTACAGGCTTTTGGTATACGCAATAACCTTAGTGCTACTATATAAGTAATGGCTTCTATAGCTATATGAAAGCACAAGGTTTTCTCCCAAAATATTGTGAACAACACTTCAATAGCAGCAAGGTTAAATACTGTAAAGCCATCTATCAGCTGAAAAAAAAAGATGATCATATCTTTAATCTGTATATACAGTATAAAAATAAAGAGATGTGGTAAGATTGCCAATGAGACAACTATCCATTAAAGTTTAAATGACATGGAGGTATGCAATTATAGGTCACCGTACGATCTTTAACTATGAGAAAAACCCATACCGTATAGTCAGCTACAAAAGGCCCCGACATGAAAACCGTGTGAAACAATACACTCTGTTTCTATCATAATAGCGACAAAGGTTAAAATACCTTAAATCCTTTTTACAGACAATATGTTTAATGATGCTTTAGTTGCACTTGGAAAATACAATATGCTTAATGATGCTTTAGTTGCACTTGGAAAAATAATTGTCTGGGATTAATTCAAAAGAAAATCTTTTGTCGTTACGAAATGATTCCTATATGACATCTTTGTGTTTTGTCTGTATCTTGTCTTGTTATATATGAATAAAAGACGCTGGGAGGTATACTTCAATGAGATTGTAAACCGATTTAAATGCTCATTCAACTACTTATTCTCCATGCATATGTATCGATTTAATTTTCATTCAAATGCATAAGACCCTCCCCCTTTAAATATCAATCAGTTGACTGATAAAATGTACATAGCAGAACAAATATCAAAAAGTTCTGTACTGCATTTGTTTTTTTACATTTCTCGTGCTTTAATGACAAAAAGGGTAAACATACATATATATATTAGTATACCTGTATAAAATCTTTACACATTTTTGTACAGCCCGTTACTAGGCGGAGTAATAACTGAAAAAAACAGGAGAAATTTACAATTATAATCAATCAAATTGGGAAAACAAGCCATGTCAAAAGCCATGCTTTAATTTTTCTTTGAAAGAAAACAAAAATGTTTTGAAATGCGTTAAGAATAGAATTCTTATGAGCTTTAGGAGACATAAAAAACCCTCTGTTTTGAAGATTAAATTGAAAAAAAAATCGTTAAATAACTTGTCTTTCATGATATTATATACATATACATCATTAACTCGACCACTGCTCAGAATAAGGTAATGACAAAATAATGCGGATGGTTCCACAGACTACAGTTCGAATAAACCTTATAGTTTCATAGGCTATTGATATTTAATATTTAAATCAGTTCCAACTGATAACGACTAAGCATAATGACGAAGAAGAGGATGCATGTATTATGTTTGTAGTAACAATTCTTACCTCTATAAAGAAGATCAATGCTATAACTAAACTTATGTAATGTGAGAAACAGTATGCAGCTCCAAGAGATGTATCAAAATTACATGTACGACAACCTCCTCCTGGATCAATATCATTCTGTGCTGTTGTATTTGAACTTTGACTACTCAGATAGTCTATTGACTTGCTTTCCAAAGGATCTGAAACAAAAATAATCTCAAAAGGTATACTACATTTTACATGAAAGTTTCAATATGCAAAAATTGTGGCAGAAATAACAAGATATTGAATGTATGAATGGATTGAAAATCATGTATTGTGTAAGTGCCACTTTAGACAGCTGTGGCGTTCCTTAGAAAATTGTTAAATGCTAGTATGTTACTTATAAGGAAGTAAAAAATGTGATAAACATTATTTTTCCGTGTGTAGTAAGTATACAGAATGAAAGTTTGCTTATGGTTTAGGCAAACCAAAAAATCCGGAATAGCTTTACCAGCTTTGTAAATATAAATCGTCCTGAGTATACATGAACCATTGACCGCCAAGCAAACAGATGGAATTTCATATATATCTAATATTGGTTTCAAGGGCCACCTAACAAACAAACTTAAATTTATTGTAGATTGAGATGAAGAACAGCAACAAAAGCGTTGTTCCTTTGCTTTTTGGATTTTTCTGCCGTGCATGTACTGATTTTGTGTCATGGATGGAAACCCCATATCCTCTCTTTTCTATTATACTTTATCAATAGATCGGCTAAAACATACATAGCAATTACAAACAATCCTAAATTATCCATTTATTCAATTGAAATTTACATGAAATATTAATTGCGAGGTTTAGATGATAACTAAGCCGGACCCCTGTTGTGATTTATCGTACACTCGGGTCGGAGCTTTGGAGGGAATGGCTGACCAGTTTAGAAGATAACAACATTAAAGATACTTCCGAGAAACGTAATTATCTACTTTGTTTATATTTGTGATATCATCTATCTCGAAATGTTGTTCGTCGGTCATCTTAGGTAATATGTGATTTTCTAAAAATTGTATTATTACTTGTACTTTGTTGGACTATGATATCATTTTATCAATTTGAACTTTAAGAAAAGATATTTAGAGCAAATTAGAAAATCTATCAATATAGGACTATATAGATAAACTTCATCACGGCAACAATAGTGGATTTGTGCTTCATTGCGTGATCGTATACAAATACTAGATACTAAATACATTAAAAGGAGATTACAAGTCTTTGTATTCACGATATTTGCAAGATTCTCACCACCCCCTTCGTGATGACTTTTTTTCGCTCGTATGTTTGATTTTGGATGAGTTAACTTTGATCATTCTTATTATAATGTCACAACAGACATGCGTATACATGGTAAATAAAGTTAGATCAAAAGCTGTTTTTAATGCAAGTTCTACGAAGACAGTTTTTACTAACAATTTGGATGTCCACAAGTTAACTGAGTGAGGAACTACATTATATTACCCATAGACCTGTATCTTTAGCCTTGTATCTTTTAAATGATCAACTGATCCCAGAACGAAGTCACAACAGGTTACACAAAAAATGCCTATTAAACGTGTATTGATGAAACTACTAGCATGGAAGCAGCAAAATTAAAATTACCGTTCTCTTGAAATTACTGTTTTACTGGCAAAAGAGACTAATCTTTTTGCACCATATATAATTGTTTGCTGATCTATCAAATTCAATAATTTGACTAGAAATGGAACTCTTGTAACTGTTAACATGACTTTTATCAATACTGGCCGGTATACCGTATCAAACTCCCACAATTCAAGTGATATAATATACATGAGGGATGCAGATATGAACTGCATCAAGATCTTGCAATAAATTATTCAATAAGCTCCATCTCAGAAAAAGGTTAAAACTGTTTGTTTAAGCCATTGATGTTTCTTGTTTTTTCAAAGATATCACAATTCTTACCTTGTAAAACTTCTGCTCTAATCATTAACTCTACAGTTATGAAAAATATGTCAACAACTGTCAGCGCTATAATGGTACACTCAACATATAATCCTCTTATAAATGTCTTCAGGGATCGACAACACCTGTGGGGGCAAAGGAAACCACTTAAATACATACAATTGTTACTATGTGTGGGGTATGCTAATTATTGTTTGAAATTCGTCTAAATATGCAGGAACTATACAATACACAAGTTATATATAAAAACATTTCCTGTTTAAAAGTCTTGAAAATGAAATGTTAGATGTGTTACATGATAGATTCGGAAAACATATAAAAAGTACAAATTTTAAATTCAAATTTGAATTCGATTAATTATCATTTCAAGCAGTATGTTCTAAACATATATATCAAAATAAAATGAAATTCAAATATCTTTCAACAATGCAATAGATTACCCTAAATTTATTCAATGAAGTAATAAGTTTCAGTGGTATATACTGTACTTAAACTGGCGTTTGTGCTTTTTACCTGCAACACAAAATGGCATTTGCGCTCCAAACATGATGGACATTTGCGCCCCAAACATGATGGATATTTGCGCCCCAAACATTATGGACATTTGCGCTCCAAACATGGTGGACATTTGCGCTCCAAACATGATGGACATTTGCGCTCCAAACATGATGGACATTTGCGCCCCAAACATGATGGTCATTTGCGCTCCAAACATGATGGACATTTGCACCCCAAACATGATGGACATTTGCGCTCCAACTATGATGGACATTTGGGCTCCAAACATGATAGAAATTTGCGCTTTGGAGGTTCATTCATTTCACTGAATCTATTAAAATAAAACTTCTTCACTGTTTTACTTAATAACAACCATTAGTGTTTCGAGACTTGTAAAGGTAAACAAAAGTATCTCTGTTACGGTGGATTTTTTTACCGATTCAATCAGACACTGAAAATCGAGGATTTGTCTTGGAGAAGTACAGACAAGAAATTCAAACGTCGAACAAAAAGTTACAGCAGATAGTAGAAATTTGCCGATTATGTAATTGAAAATTATTTCACTTGCTCACCCCTATTCCCGCAATTGCTATGGACGAAGAAGCCATCAGAGTATAAACGTACAATCAATGGTACGGACACTTTTCTTTGCCATTACAACGAACAGCTATATTAAACTCGCCAAGCAATTTTCCGGCTTCTTCATTAAAACTATTTTAAAACAGCAATCCATCAACTACATTAAGATTAGGTACACTGACGAACCTACCGTGACAACAGTGAAAACAGAAAGTTGGCCTATTTGTTTGAAAAGTGAAAAAAAAATTAAAATCTGGACAGTTGACTATATATATATTTACAAAGTACATTCAAGGGTTAGGATTTGCATACTAAGCTAGAACTGATTGGTGGTTTCTTTTACCTTTAAAATACCAAGGGTGCTTTATAGTCACGTTTATGTTTCAGAATGGTTGAGATTAAAAGGAATTTAATAATTTTTTACAAAAATGGCTAACTCCACCAAGTGTAACCTGTCGGTCCAACGCGTGGATAGAGCTGCTTTCCAGAGTGGAAAAAAATGTCCATCTAGAAATCAGATTTATAAACCATATCATTATACAAATTATTATTAAAAAAAGCTTTACAGGTCTCAAATAACTCTATTGCAAATATTTTTTTTATAAATAAACGAACATATAGTTTTATATAGTAAGGAAAACCATTGAGAATAACGTTCCAGTTGAACGCCAACGCAGACATACTGAATATAGACAACGAGTCGAGAAACACCAATATTATACACAATGTAAGAAGGGATCAAATTGGCATCACGAAAGGAAAAATACCATCTGGAGCGGCAATTTCTTTTTTTGGTTAGTTTTAGAGTAGAGTTTTCATTTTCTGTAAATCAATTTTATCCCCAACTGTAGTCTAAAATCAACTGAGCAAGTTATACTGTTTTCTTATTCTTAAATAAATTAGAATCACATTAAATCATAACTGGCTCAATTCTGGCAACATTGAATTATTATTAACCCAATTCTGGCCGCGTTTCAAAACTGGCAACATCGAATTATAACCGGCCTAATTCTGTAACATTTAATTATAATGCTCGTCTGGTAACATTAGAATGGAATCATTGTGTATGTAACCTTTTATCTTAACAATTTTAAAGAACACATCTTATCATATAAAAATTAGGAGATGTGGTATGATTGCCAATGAGACAACTATCCACCAAAGTTCAATTGAAGTGGATGTAAGGAATTATAGGCAACCGTACGGCCTTCAACAATGAGAAAAACCCATACCGAATAATCGGCTCTAAAAGGTCCCGACATGAAAAATATGAAACTGGCAATTCAATTGAGAAAATAAACGGCCTTATTTATAACAAAACAGTTAACGAATAACAAATATGACAACCAACGACAACCAGGCTCCTGACTTGGGACAGGCACATAAAGAACGTGGCATAGTTGGCTTTAAAATGTATTCTGTTGAAAATTAACAGATTAACATTAAAAGACATTTGTCAATTTAGTAGCACTTTGACTCGACTACAATATAGCATGCAGAAGACATTTTTTTCTAGTGAATTTTTTACATGCATTGCTATCTTACACGAAGTCAAGATTAAATGATTACATCTTTAAGCTTTACTTTATGTCGTTGATTTTATAAAAACTCCCGAACAACTTCTTTGTTATTGATTTAAGTTCATTGACTTGTAGAAAGCAATAAATAAGTCACATGGTAGAAGATTCCGAACAAACCAAGTTAAAAAGGGGGCATAAAAAAGAACAGAATCGAGGAAACAAAAACATACCAATCAATGGTACGAATTCGAACGTAAACACGAAAAAAAAAGATTTGGACTATACGAAAGACCATCAAAATCGAAAATGAAAAGAGGGGTGTCATAAATTTCCATCAACTGTCCTATGGATTAGGAGACGGCATTGGTACATGTATTCCATACATATACTTATTTACACCGACACTATATGGCCAAGGATACAATTCAAAACCTGTTCGTCATCAACTCATGTATAAAAGATGTCATTTTATCTGTATGTGGTTTATCACCATGTAAAAACTAGGTCTATTCACCTACGTAGATGATTAACACCGTATGACTGAACTTTTAGGGATAATGCATAGCATGGTTAAAATCGAAATATTCGAGTTAGATTCGTCATATATGAATCAATGTGTAATCCTTCTGCTTGTTTTCTCAAAAAAGTAGCTGGGGTACTTATATGAAATAAGCTACATGTCACTTAAAGATTATTTTGGGACTAAAACTACCATATCTATTTTAAAGTCTGAAATGTCTCAAAATTTTAATTCAGATAACAAATTATAAAAATAAATTGTTTCTTACGTCCAGAGTATATCCTTACTGCATTTGTGTTGAATTGATTAATGTTGATATGGTTCACAAGAAAGTACGCAATTTTTAATTGAAACCTCAATGTATCATAGAACGAACGTCCCAGATGTAATACAGGTACTATCGATTTAATAAAAAATCATTACTTTCTTCTTAAATGTCATTCTGTGGATCAAAGCAAATTGTAAACGAATTAGATTTCTTAAACATTAATTTACGCAATGTCATCGCAGATTAAGTCTGAGTTCAATTTCATAGTTTGAAATTCAAAAGCATGTATTATTACAGTTTGCCAGCTAGAGGCATATATGGTGGTACTATATATATATCTGAGTTCGCAATATGATAATTTGTTCAATTTTACACTGTATGAACATGTTTTTGCTCCTTCAAAAATTAATCTGGAAATTGTAAGTTACTAGAATAAATTATTTATTTAGATCTAGCGCCCATCCCTTAGAATTAACCTCTCTTAAAAAAGAAAGATTATAATAGAAAATATATTGAATATAAATTTTCTATAGTAACAAATGTTAACGTTTTTACAATGTATATTCCCTGTTTCAACACTGGCATACCGAAAATATTTACAAAGTCTAAAATCTATTCCTTAAAAAATAAGACTTAAATATCATGTAAATATAATAACTATAACATATTTCCTTCCTGAGACGATTCTCCTTTCATACTTTTAAAGACGTTCATGAACTGTAATCGTATTGTTGCTGTTATGCTAATTCCCTGAGTGAATTATTTATCTTGTATCTATCTATACTAATACATGTATCAGTACAATTGAATTAACCTCTACCTCACACCCGAAGATTTTGTCATAACTATGTGACCATGTTTTGCCTACAGCGAGTCCGAGAACATTCTGACCAAGTACAAATGATTAAGATAAAGATATTTTTATTCCAATTAAAGGGCCCAGGTTGAGCTAAGTAGTTTATAACAATGATTTTTTTTTTACAATTGAGAGAAACACATAATTTTATGAATATGGATATAATCACCTTATTTTGTGCATTTAAGCCTCAGCCAGACCAGAGTATAAGTATATGTATAAAAAAGCATTAATAAAACAGATAATATAAATATTAACAGGCAAATATTCTTAATGGGTTGCATATAAGCATATCTATTTTGATCGTGTTCGTTGAAAACATTTATTAATAAAAGTTCCAATAATTTTCAATACCTCTAGGTTTTCTTAAATAAAAAGCTCATTTTATCTAATATCAAAGTGATGAAGCCATTATGTAGAAAAAAGCGTACCCTAAAATACCCTTATCAACAGAACGGGATTATTTTTTTCTAAATTCCTCATCAGTTGTGCCAATTACTGTGTATTTCGTTTAAGAGTTGAATGTTATCCATCTTTACGCGTGCGATGAACACTCGTATAACACCAAACTATTGAAAGCATTTTACTAGTAAGATAAAACGTTTTGCTTTTAACACCAAAAAGGGTTGTCAATTGAAAAAAGATATTACATGCATTCATGTGAAAATAAATGTAATTGAAATGTTTTTTCCGATTTAAACGTTAAATGTATAAATACTCTTATAGTCTCGAGAAATAAGTTTATTCAAAGTTCGTTTAAAGCTAACAACAGTTAAAACCAAGGACGTATATTAGATTATACGTCCTTGGTTAAAACAAATTCTTGAAGACTGGTCTCTCCTGCAGTCAAATATTCTCCTTACTTGATGGGTACTCCATCATTTTTACTTTTCTTCCAATTTCGTATTTTGTCCTTTTGTTTTTTTTTTACCATAATTTATTTATAATTCATCTTTTTTTTTTGTAGATCCTAACAATGTTTTTTCTTTGACGATATAATTAAACATACAAAAGGTGTAAAACGGCAAAGACGGTTATCTGTCAACATGATTGTTATTGCCACTATAATATTACCATATGTCAGGTAACAGATAAAAGACAACAACGTGATAATGGCCTTGTGACCACATTCCAGTATTACAGGTGTAAACTGCCAAATTAATATACATTTCTAAATCGTTGGTAATGAATATTGCATGAGAATATTTGCTTATCTGGAATGAAAATTGTGAATATTTCCCTTGAGAATTAGTATTCAAATGAATGTGTTTATAGCAAAATCACAGAGCACCTTGCTCAGTAAACACGTGTAAGCTAATCATCTATATTCAGATGTCAAAAAAGGGTTTGGGTGACAAGGGGGCTGCTCATTTCTTAAAATCCCGCTTTTTTGTAATCTTTCTCCCACTACCCACCTTTTTTTTTCCTTTTTTGTCCCAGATCCCACTTTTTAACCCCGTATATCCGACATCACCACTTTTTACCCCTATATCCCACATCCTTGAAGCGTGTCCTCCCTCAGATGTACAATTGCTTAGAAGCGTCTCAATCATTCAGTTTGTGTACATGTATCTAAACTTTGTTCATCTAATTTTGTTCGCACTTTTAACTTCTGTTGTCAAAGATAGATATGTTCACTCATACCAAACATTTGCATGAGAACATGCCGGTTCTAATTACTTCATTACATATTCTGTTTATGAATATATACTAGTCATCTTGAATAAACAATAGATAGATTAACACGACACCAGACAAACATTTAAAACAATCAATCAATTTGTAATGGTAACGTAAGTATTTCCACAGGAGAGTTGACCATTAATGGACCTTTTTTCATCGACGCCTTATTCATAATTAAAAACTTTATTGTAGCCAAAAGGTCAGTTGTCTCTTCTTTCCAGACAGCTTTATCGTATAACTGTTGTATTGAACGTGTTGATGCGGTATTTTTGTACCGTTATTCCCTTATGAATGCTTCACGTTGAAATATATTTAGTTTACAATATATATACGAGCACGAGTATATTTGTTATACACATTAAAGCATATATATCAACTTCTTTACATTGTTACTATTGCACAAATTATCCTTTACATAATTATGTCCACACATATTAGATATGTATAATTTGCATAACTGTTTTTTATCAGCTATTTTATATTAAAATACATCCGAAGCATTTTCGGATATAAATGTTTAGTGTTAATTGCAGTCTAAAGGCACATTTTCAGTCTCGTGTTATTGTAGACTTTGCAAAGCTTCATCCTTATCAAAGCTCCATTACCCATATTATATGTAGGCCTATACCGTTGTACCTTTGAATGGTTTCCTCAAAGAATAAATATATTATTTTTTCTTGAAGATCTGTTCCATAAGATGGTATGCTACTTGAAACTCTGAATTGAATACAGTCATATAAGTAAATTTTAAATAAAACTCGTAAAAGACACTCCTTCTTATAATTATTCATTTCTATTTTCTTATATTTTTGCAATATGAATATGGAAAATTCATAACTCGTTATTTTCATTGACTAACTAAAAAACAACATAAAAAATGTAATGGTCATTGGAAGAAAAATTATTTTTGTCCATAATTCATCCACGTATCTGCTAAATGTCCTCAAGATAGTGGATAGTAAGTTAAAAAAAAATCTGTTTCTCCGACTTAAATTATAGACTAGCGACAGTGAACGGCATATTGCATCACCGTCAGCATTTTTCACACATCAAACAAGCATTTGAGGCATGGAACTCCTTTCTAATTCCTTTTATTCTTTAATATTTCACTTATTTTCACTTATTTAATGTGTTCTTGTTCTTATCCATACACTATTACAACTACAACATGCGGTACAGTGTAGTTTATATATGCTGCCCCTCTACATTCTTCAGCATGTGGGTTTCATTGTAGTACATGACCCCAAACAAGCCATGAAAGGCTGATAGACGTTAGAGCAACCTCGGACTATCTACTAACCAAAGTGAGAGTTCAGAATGAGAGTTGTTGATAACATCACAAGGGTGTGAATGAATGTGGACTTTGAGCTACTTTTTTGTTAATGATTATTTAATTTCTATCAATTACTGATATGGTGAGGTAAACGTGCCTTTTAGTGCATCACTCCCTACTTATATAACATCATTCTATTTACATTTTATTTAGAAACAAGTTATTATCTCGTATCTAGTAAGCTTTAAAAAGGTAAGTATGTTACTTCCCGAATTAGTAAACAATAGAATAAAGACTTTATTTCATATTTGTCTTTAATTTTCGTCATCTTTTATGTCCCAGAATGTTATTATTGTTAAAAAATATTGCTTTGTTATATAGATGTATTATCAAGAGTGCAAAAATAAAAGTACAAGAAACTGGTTATGAAGTCATATTGTTCGGCCTAAAATCCACAGGCACTTGTCTCATAAAAAAAATTTCCTATATACCTTTTGTTCTGAGACAAGTGCCTGTGCTAAAACCTTAATCACTAGGGTGAAAGGCATTTGGTCCGTATTCTGTTATCCCGGGGCCTTTTACAGATTTCTGTACTTGATGGGATTTGCATTTTGTTGAAGGCCGTACAGTGACCTGTACTTGTTCACATTTTCCCCTTGAGCCTTCAATAGATACATGTAGTTACATGTACCCTGAGTTACCCTGAACGGGCATTTCAACTCTCCAGAACTGTAAACGGGCATATCAATTCGGTAGAACTATAAACGGGTATATCAACTCGCTAGAAGTGTAAACGGGTATATCAACTCGCTAGAACTCTAAGCGTGCATATCAACTCGCTAGAACTATATAACTAGTATTGTGTTTTATCAAAGAACCTAATTGGCTTCCGGTTGGATTTCAGGAATGACTGAAGAAAACCACAATACAAGGTTTTTACAACAGTAATAAACAAAAAATAATTAAATCCATTATGTCCTTAATAATTAAACCTGTCAATAAATAGTTCGTGATGATAATGCCGGACATTCCGGTCATCAAATCATGTCAATTTTATAGTTGTAGGAACAAGGCCATGTTACCATTTTATGTATCTGAACAATAATTTGTATGATGTACAATGTAATTGATGGCTTTGTTGATATTGTTTTATGTTATGATCAGAAAATTGGCCAAGGGGTCGAAATAACGGAAAATCAAAAATCAAAATGTGTATCAAGTTATACAATAAATTAAATTTGTTATTTTCTGGAATTAGTTATTTTATAAATACGATTGATATCAAAATGGATTTTTCTATATTCGTATATAAGAGGATGTAGCTTTGATTTGTGTTTTAAGTTTTTTAACATTTATTGAAAATTCGAAATATTTACACAATCGTATGCTGACCTTTTTAAAAAAATATTTTAAGGATTTCACTTGTCTACAAGATTAACGAAAAAACAATGTATCAAACAAAGAATGTTGTCAAACTATGTACCAATCCATATCCTTGGTAAAACATTCAGCCTGTTCTTCATACCGATTTATTAAAATTTAAAGTAAAGTTTTGCTATCGTTTCATTGCCAGTTGTAGCTTTCCGAAATCATAATTTATTAAAACTTGCTTATTTCTTAACAGGCTGCATTGCGCAATAATTCACCCATAAAAAGTCCTGGTTTAAACCGAATTTAATAATATAATTGTCCAATTCCGTTGTCCTGATGACTTAAAATAAATTAAAACATATTTTCCTTCAACAATTTACAATCACTTTTATTTGTTGCGTAATTTCTATTAATTTAGACATATTATTGTTACTGCACCTAGTAAATTTATATTGATATATTATATATGTAGGCGTATGTAAAACCGACGATACAAACTTTAAGAAATGAAATATTTTTATTTAAAATTCCTGTAATCGCCTTCATTTACTAATGAAAATATCAATTTAAATCTTAAAAGACATTTTCTTAAGTTATGAAAATAGTAGAACTTACCTGTCCTGTTTCGCCATATTGATATTGACATCCCTTCAATTATCGACACTGATGACCTCTAACCTCTACCATCAAAATACCTGGCGAATATTGTGCATCAACGCCCAGGTTAATCAGTCAAATTTTATCTCTAATCTAACTCATATTTGCATCATACCATTGATATAATTTCACGTTAGAAATCTCTAATTATTTTTATTCAAATTTTTAGTTTTACCTGTACATCTAAAATCGATTTGTGTGAAACCATCTGCCTTCATATTTCAACAATAGTAATGTAATTTTATTGATTTTCGAAAGATTTTATGTAAAATCATGAATCGGACGTTTTAGGTTATTCAGTGGTATCCTTAAAAAGAATTGTTGCTTGGTGATATTATTAAAACGAAACAGTTCTGATTCTGAAATCGGTACGTAACCAGAGATGTATTTCGAAAGTTAGAAAATTAAGAAATTTACTTTTTTAACGATTAATGAACAATTAAATTATTTAAATAGACAAGAACGATCTTTATTCTAAATGCATAGTTTCTCTTTTATAAGTAATTATTGCAGATAAGACAGGTAATGATAAAAAAAATATGAATGAATAGACAAATTTTATAAAAGCTCAGCATAGCTCGTTAAGTATTTGTTTTGAAAAAAAATCAACCATGTCGACTCTCAATAATAAACTAATAAACTTCATTTTATTTCTGGAATACTCCTGGACTTTCCCTTTACGAAAGCATAAAGTAAGGCATGGAGATTCATTGGTTTTATACCCCCCCCCCCCCCCCCCCACCTCCCAATAAAAAAACCAAACTTGGATGAGAAATATCTAAATGACGTATCATAAAAGTTGTTTATAGAAAAAAAACTCATCATAGATACCATGATTAAAATTTTGTACGCCAGATGCGCGTTTCGTCTACACCAATGAAGCTCAGTTCATAAAAATAAAACATATATGATTTTTTATTATATATTAAAAAAATTATATAAATGATCATAAAAACAAAATATATATTCAAAATTTTTAATATATTTGGTCTTTATGAACATGTACATGATTTTTTTAATATATATTTTGTGTTAATGAACATAAATATTATTTTTGGAATATAAATTTTGTTTTTATGAACAAATATATGATTTTTTTTGTGAATATTGCAACGTTTGACACACCATAACAGAAGCCACAGAAAGAACCAATTGTACTGTATGGAAAAATTGAAATCATCACTGCGAATGTTTTACGAACGGCAACATAGCTTGGTTGAACGACACTAAATATCTGCGTCTCAGTTGACCACGGATATGTTCCATTTGTCGTATAAACATAATGACATCCTCTTTTCCTACTGTATGACAAATACCGAATTTGACTTATCGCTGAAGTTTAACTTATGGGCAACACAACAGGTGCCATGTCACTAAAGTGGAGAAGGAACTGTTTATTTTTCTGGAACACAGAAATCACCAAGTTTTAGTCTTTTGTGTACCGTTTTGTTGAGTGTTGTTTATCTATTTTTCTTTTGGTCGTGTTATTGTCTGTTTTTCGATGACTTTTTATTTTTACAGCCTCTTTCGTAACCTTTGCTTTACTTAACATATTGAATAGAGGAAAACATCAAGCCCAATTAAAAGCTTCCTTTATTGTCTTTTTATTGATTTCTTTAATGAACTAAGTATTATCATCACGAATGCCCGAAGACTGATGATATATTAATGTCATAAAAGGACTCCAGTCTAAAAGAACTTCAGTAGTAATGTCGGATTTCACGCGTTTATATAATTTTGCTCGGGGCTTTGTAACGTTGGAAAAGATTTGAGAGAACCATAATACATTTGACCCATAGTTATCAACGAAATCGTAATGTTTGACCTGCCAATATAGATTTAACCCGATGTTATCACGGTGATCTTCAAATCACGAAAAAGAAAAGAAATCTGGATCAAACAAAACCTCTCAAATCAAAATTAACATATGTTATCAGTTTTCAGTGTACAGATATTGTTTGTCAGATGAAGAGAAGAGGAACGTAGGGAGCGATAAATTCAATCACAAAATAAATAAATGAAAAAGAAAAGGAATAAAAGGAGACAAAGAAGAAATAATTTAACATGTCAAATGACAAAACAAAGTACAAATGCGTCCAACGGACACTTTTGAGGACTTAGGTATTATTTAAAAAAATCTATTGTTTTAATTATAAAATTATTTTTATACTAATGCCATTTAAATACTTGTTTAGAAATCTCTAACTTTAGATTCTTTTGTTAACGCTGTCTTCGGAACACCGACGTCCCGTAAAAAATGTGTTAGATTTCATTTTTATTTTAAGAGTGGGCTCCATGGTATTATAAATGATACAAAACATTAGAAAGGAAATATTGGTAACATTTAAGTATTGTTTGTGGCAAGTTTTATTATTGAAAATTAGCTTACGGATAATTTAGCCATGTAGGAAGGACTTTTATATTCTATAAGAAGTAATATTGCAATAATAATGAAAACGAGATATTTTTGGTGAAAAATAACAATGAGTAAATCAGAAAAGGGACGATCAAAAGTTGGTAAATCCAACTTAGATGATGCCGTCGTGAAGTGTCCGATTTGCTCCGACAAGTTTACAGATCCGAAGAGTCTACCATGTCTTCATACATTTTGTCAGAAATGCCTAGGAACATACATTGATCGGTATACACAGGACAACGATAACCCTAGACCAAATTCTTTCCCATGCCCACAATGTCGAGCAATCGCAATTCCGATCGATTCAACAGCAGCACCATCCATGTGGGCAGAACAATTACCGACAAATGGATTTATAATGAACGTCATGGAAATTATGTCTTTCGAGAACAAGGAGAAAACGTGCGAACCATGCCAAAAGCAGAATAAAGAAAGCGTCCGTGCTGATGTTTGGTGTAAGCATTGTCGAATTTGTTTGTGCAAGACGTGCATCAATTACCACAATGCGTTGTTTCTGGATCATGAAACTATGCCTGTAGACCAAGCTCTTCGCCAGCCAGCCATACTTACCGACGATGAACTTCGCTGTAGTCGCCATAATCAAAATATGGAGCTCTTCTGTTTGGATCACAACACTCTCGTTTGCTCTGTTTGTGTAGCACTGGAACATCGAAGATGCGTCCAAGTTCTTACAACTGAATTTTATGCGAAAGAGTTAAAGAATACTCGGGAGGTAGAAAAATTAGTGGAACAATTTAACGAGTGCTTATCTTCACTGGAAGAAATCGTAAACGAAAACATTAAACAACATCAGAACCTGAACAACAAAAAGGATGACATAAAAAAGAAAATGAAAACATTCAGAGGATCGATTACTGGGCATCTTGACAAACTGGAGGAAAATTTTAACCAACGCCTAACTAAAATACACAAAGAGGAGAAGGATAAGATTCAGTCAAGAATTCAAGACAGCAAAGTCACCCAATCAGCCATTGAACATTCTAGAAAGATGATTCAAGCGACAGCGAGTTATGGAAGTAATGCCCAGTTCGTTGCAACAGTTGCTAAAGCGCGTGAGAATTATTTAGATTTTAAACAAAAGGCGATGGAAAACTCGGCAAAGTTAGAAAGTATAGATATAAAATTTAGATTTAACCCAAAAGCTAGAGACATACCAGCAACTGTGATGGAATTAGGAGAGATAAAAATTTCCCATGGTAGGCCCGATGCCCCGAAGCCTATCGCCGAAATGAAGCCAATGATGGATAAACGCGCAGTTCTGATAAGAGATTTCCACATTCGGCTACCTTCAGATACAAACGACTGCGTTATTACTGGTGGAATTTATCTGCCTGATGGAAAAGTTATCTTGTGTGATTTCCACAACAAAACTATCAAAATGTTTAAGGATACAGGTATTTTCATATCGAAAGTACTTTTGACATCTGAACCGTTCGACATTTGTCAAGTCGATATGAATACTCTTGCATGTACTCTTCCAAACAATCGGGAAATTGCTCTGCTTAACATGACAGATGAAAGTCTGCTATTACAAAACGTAGTTTTTGTTGGAAAAGTATGCTATGGCGTTGACGAGATACGTGGCAATCTGGTTCTGCTGTTTCCTCTTGATAAACCCGTTCCATCAATGAGCGTCATAGAAGTAGATGGACATGTTTTGGATACAGTCCACAGGAGAAGTAGTGGTAAAGCTATGTTTGAAAATCGACCGTTCCATCTCGCTATCAACCAACGCACAGCTGAAATTGTTGTGACACAGAAAACCGTTGGTATCGGCGAAAAACGAGCTGTCGTTCTATATTCGGATTTGAACGTCCGTTTGTCGATTGAACATGACAGCATACGTTGGGCAAGAGGTGTCAGTATTGACAGCCAGGACAACATATATATATGTGGGCAAAATTCCTCGAATGTAATGAAAATGTCGTCTGACGGATCTGATGCGCGCGTGCTTCTAGATGCAACCGACGGACTAGAACATCCCGCTGCTATTCACCTATGTGGAGACAGATTTTTCCTGTCAGATGTTGGATACACAAATAGGAATGTAGTTAAAATTTATGAAATGGTTTAGAATTGAACTGATAGCAAGTGTCCTAGAAGCTACTTTTAACATTTTTGACTGAACACAAAACTTTAAAGACATTCTGAAATTTTCAAATTATTGGTGTACAAATTAATCCCAGGAAATGACCAGTCTCTAGGTTTATCCTATTTTTCTTTTAAGAATTCAAACGTTATAGTTCAACTAGTTTACAAACAAGAATTAAGTCATGGAATATCAGTCAAGTACGTTTATATTAATTTGAAATGCGATTTGTTTGTGTCAATATATTCCTTTTAAAAGAGTTTACATGTACAGAAACGGTATATTTATAGGTATTAAAATGCCAAAATACCATTTTAACTTAGTTGTAGTAGAAATGTTTTGCCAATTATTTATGTAGGAATTAGAAAAATATAATCAACTTTATAGCGTGGTTTACTTTTACATGTTGTTATGTTTGTTGTTTGCTACATGTTTATGTTATTAAATTACTCAGAAACGTACACAGAACTTTTAAAATAAACCCGTAAATCTTAATATGGTGTCGAAAAAAAATACGGTTAATCAGTCAAAAGAATGCAATTTCGGATATGTATGATTGAATTGAGGAAAACCTAAATTAGGCAGCAACACAAGAACACAAGAATGGACACATTAGGGTCACGTACATTATTCAACAAGGAACA